CCCCCCCCCGCCTCCTTTGTGTGAAGTCTTGCACTGCTTGATTTGTCATTTAATTCCTTATTCCTTCTCCTGGCTTTTCCTATTCTTTTAGCAGTTTTCAAAGTGCTTTATGACCCTGCTTCTCTTGTGAGACCATAGTTGTCTGTGCAGTTTACTCCTGTCTTACCTTTTTCTGTGATACCACTGTGTGAAAGGTGAAGAGGGGAGTTCCACATCAAACCATACCTCTTGAAAAGCAAATACTTGGTTCTGTGTGATATGAACAGTGTCATGGTCAGGATGACTGTGAAAGTTCCTGAGCTCTCCAAAGTCACAGGAAAACTATTTTGTTGACACGACCAGTTTTTGTTGGGCAGTTGGGACTTACATTTCCTGTAGATAATTCTCTTTTCTCTTATGACTTTCAAAGTTGGTAGACATAGAAACTGATTCATCTGGGACAACAGAAAAGGCAGCATACTTGAAGCGGGCGATGCGAAGGCTTGTGAGAACTGGTTACTTTTTTCTTTCTTAAGATTACTGCTTCAGTTGTACTGGAAACACGTTGCATGCTTTTACGGGCAGCTAAGACGTCATCACAAGTACTGAAAACTGAGGGTACAAGGCCAATGATAATGTCCTGTTTTTCTGAGATTACACATAAAATAGATCATGGTTGGCTAGAAGGTCAAGTTAACACTGCTGCTGTAGCTATGGTGACAAGGATGTGGAAGGATGCTGCCTCTGCATATGTGGATTTGCAGAAGTTGCTGCTCTCGCATGTCATTATGCTAGTAAAGGTGTGTTCTGTACTCGAATGGCTGGTTTCTGTCCCTGGAATAGCTTTAGGCAATGCAAAGCACATATTTATGGAGCTTACAGTCATTCTGGGATTGCTGTGCTGGTCTAGCATGGAAAAGTTTCTCAGTTTAAGTGCTCATAGTATTTATGTAACTTAATAGATTCTGTTCTACTAAATGCAGAGGAACTTTTTTCCCCAAATCCTTTGGTCTTGATAGGAGAAGGCAAGATGATTTTTCTTGCCTTTTTTTTTTTTTGTTGGGACAGTGGATGTTAATCTGTGAATCATTTAAAGGCAATTTGATCTTTGTTCTGGTGTGGAGGCCGTGGCAGTAGAGTTATGCATAAATGTGGCAAAGGAAGGTTGCCCAAGCAAAATGTCTGAAGCTCTGTATATCTTAGGCAATGATTGCTTGCATCATGTCCAGGCTTATGTAGCTTTAACAAAGAGATAAGCGCAAGAACACCATGAACCTCAACAGGCTGTGAAGATAATCCCGGGAATATTCTATGATGGGTAAGGTTAGAGGTGTTCTGCATATGGGGATAATGAAAAAGGTCTAAGACAAAATGCCACTTTCAAAACAGAGTAGTCACTTGAGCAGATTTGGGCTATACAAAGCTACAGAAGTCTGAATAATCACAGTTTCCGAATTATTGTACACAAATTCATCTGACCTATGCTAATCCTATCTAGAGGAACAATAGGAAATAATATGCATTCCAAATGCCCATGTTAGTGGTATTAGCCAGATTGTTAGGGCTGTTTTTTTAGTAGAAGCTAAGAGGCTTAACCTGCATTTGTGTCATCTTCACTCTAGTCTGTTGCGAGTCATAGCAAACTGTCCTTCACGTGAGCCAAGAAGTTGCTGCCTCCTCTTGGCAAAGAGTTAAAGTGTTAAATAGTTGTTTTGGGTAATAGCATACATGATTTCCACAGGGAAATGGAATTTAAGATATGTGCTGTTGTGAAAGATAGGCTTATTTGTGGGGGGGTGGGGGGAAAGGAAAAATGTTTGTTTCCTGCTCTTGAGACTGGCACACTAAGTTCAAAACATCTTCACTTTCATTTAGTACACTTGGACAATGCAATTAGTTTATTTTTGTTTGTATGATCTCACAGTCCTAGCAGTTGGTTTATTGTAGAATGGCTTGTGTTCGTCAAAACTGAGTGAATGAAGACTGAAGTAGGGTAGGGAAGGTTGTTTTGCCTTCAGTGAGAGGAGCCCATTGCCCCTTCCTGTTCCCACAGAGCTCTACTGGAGCAAAATTTTAGTGTCCTACAAACAAAGTATGTTACTTGGTTTAGTAAGTTTAAATATGAGTAAGAATTTTGAACCCATTTATTTCTAAATGTATTCTGGTTTTATTATATAAAGCATTTTCTTTCTCTGTTTCAAATTCCTGAGGCTTTCCTCAGAACCCTTTAAAACAATCCAAGAATAACCAATTTAGGAATTAGATCATCATCAGCCTCAGTACCTTCCATTTATGATTTACTTCTTTAGTCCATCAGTTGTGTCACTTACATGTGAAAATAAAATCCTGGAAGAATTTTCAGGCAGAGTTACTACTATCACTCTTCCTTTCCTCTCCACCCATCTATGCTTCCCTTCCTCTTTTTCCTCAATGTCCTGTGATTCTGAATAACTTCCCCCCCTCCCCCCCCCCCCCCCAAATCTTTGTCGTTACTGGATTTTCACTGGCTGAGTATTTCCTGATCCTAAATATATGATCAGGAGTAAAAATGTTTTTTCCTTGTTAGAATTTGTTAGCAGAATGACCAAATAGAATTTAGATTTTACTTCTCTTTCCTCCTGATTGTTTTCTTGTATGTGGGTGTCCATACTTCCTACCTAGTACTTAATTGGGAACTGAATGTTCAATTCCCTTGGCCAGTTTTCAAAATTACACTCAACATCTGTTTGTGAAATATTATCACAAAGATGAAAATACCATGGTATCTTTAATTCTGCTCATCCCTCTGCAAAAACAGTGTTACCTTTTGAAAAGACTAGTTGTGGGGAATTAGCGTGTCTTTCAAGGTTATAAATGGAGAAAATGGGGAGGGGCCAAAAAACCCCAGTCTCATACTTCTTCAGTGGAACCTCTTCAGTTAAAAACTCCTTTCCTTGCTTTTATGTCTTGAATGTAAACATCACCATTAATCTGAAAGAAACATGAGTAAAATAATAGCTCACACCTGTCTTTAAAAAACCAAACCTAATGATCAAAATAACAGTATCTTGCAAAATTGAGTTATTACAAAAATGACTTTAACCTCATTTGTTTGTTTATGATCTTGATTTAAGATCAATCTGTGCTCTTCTTTGGGTAAATGCATGAAAAACTCTTTAACAGAAATACTATACGATTGCAATTTCTTTGAACAGGTACTTTGTGCTGGACTTTGAGACGGGGATTCTGCAGTATTACGTGAATGAACAAAGTAAAAACCAAAAGCCACGAGGAACCCTGTCTTTAGCTGGAGCTATAATATCGCCCAGTGATGAAGTGCCACACATGCTGGTGGTCTACTCTGCTGGTGGAGAGATGTATAAGTTGAGAGGTACAGTGCTGCTTAAAGTGCCAGCTGAGTTGTTCTTCTCTCCTATTCCGGCTTCTGCACCTCTTCGCTCATATTTCATTTCTCTTTTACTTCCCTATACTGTCAGAAAGTAGTGGTTATACAGCTATATTGTTACGTACTATACTATAAAGCACAGTGGAACAGTAATCTGGAATTAAATACGTGTGAATTTACAATATATAGACTTCCAGGGCTGGAAGATACCTCAAGATGCCTTCTACAAGCTGTTATTGTGGCATTTCAATTGTACAGTATATCTTGTTTGCTTCCGAAGGAAGAAAAAGCTGTTTTCATTGCTGTCCACGGCATAGCATTTAATTTCTAATATTGTTTTCCCCTGCCACCATCCTGCAGATAATGTAGTAGTGAATCTGCTGATGGGTTAGAGAAGGGAAGAATGCCAGTGGAAGGCTGTTAAGATACTCTGTTCTTGTCAGTCTTGGAATAATTGAATGCACCTTTAACATAAAATTTTGCCTTCCCTTGCTCCCAAATGTAAGAAAGACAATATAGGGTAAGTAAGAGTTAATTTTGAAAAAAAAAATTTTTAAAAAAATTTTTGTTTTTGTTTTTAAAAAGCAGTATTCTGATTCTAAGATGTTTTCAGTATGGTTGATTAATCTGGATACTTCCCTATCATACTAGTTTATCAGAAAATAAACTGATACTAAAAAAAAAAGTGACATGTAATACAGTGTAACAAAAGTTTAGAATTATGTTAGTTTTATTCTGACCACAGTTTATCAGTTGGCTAGCAGGACAGAGTACGCGGGACTGCCCCGTGTGTGTTGCTGATTTATACGTAGAACTGAAACACAAGAAGAACCAGGGAGAGTTTCTGTTAAAATGTTTTGGAATATGCAGAGCTAGAAATCATGAACACTTGTGGTTTCATTATCATGCTTTGCCAATCACTTGAGATTATCAAATGCTTACAATATCCTGCTTTTAATTTAATGAGATCTATGAATTTGATTCAAATCAGTAAATAATTTTTATGCTGAGTCAACAACCATTGAGATACTTAATAGCAGAGGAAGGAAGAGAAAATATTTACTGAAATTATCTACTCTGTATTGGTATTCTTAATTAGGATTACTGTAGTAATGGTTTGTTTAAAAACAAAAACAAAACCAAACCTCTCTCCTAAATATACTTTTTAATATTACGCAGGAGCCACCTGATATAGACTGCAGACAATCTTTTCAATAATTTTTAAAGCTGTTTTTTAAAGATGTACGGGGGAAATTGTCGTTTTCATTTTTGTGTCTTTGTTCCATGCAAATTTAGGTTTAAAGAGAGATTTAGCTGAACTACATTAAAACAGAACTTAAGTATCTGGGGAACTGGTAGCTTGTCTGGTAGCTGGTTGACAGCCTGAGTGTAGAGGTTTTACTGATTTAAATACTACGGTGTGGCCCTTGTCCTTCACAAAGAGAGACAAGTAAAACAAATGTGGATTAAAAATCTAAAAAAAAGTCATCTTGAGGTAATTCTGCTTTTAATAACACTTGGAGGAGGAGATAACCATGAAGAAGACTCATAAGCTTATCTCTTCCAACTGGCCACAGCATCTTAAGTTGAGGTTTAGATGTGTTGTATTGAAGAAGTTACACATACTTAATTTAAGTAGCATAAATTAGAATTTATAGTGCATCCTAACGAATAAGTAATTCCCTCCGCCCCCCGCCCCTCCCCGTCACCTTCTCTTATGCAATAGAAGAATGTTGGTTTATGTGTAATTCCCTGCCTTTTATTGTTTCTATTCTAGCTGCTGATGCAAAGGAGAAACAATACTGGATAACTCAGCTTCGATCCTGTGCCAAACATCACAAGGAAGGTAATTCTAAGGTAAATAATTAAGAGGGAGAAGTAATTATTATGTTTTAAGTGGTGTAGGTGAAGAACAGCATGATCTGGATGATAGACTGGCTGCTGTAGTTAGTGGGTTGGTGTTTAGAGGTTTATGAATAAAAGCAGCAAGTTGTCATTCCTCACTAACTGGCTTAAGTCAGTTGGGCAATCTTGATAAATAAACATTGTCCTATTTATGAGAAATTCATGAAGTGCATTTTGGATGCTGTCAATACATAGTTAATTGAGTGGCTGGATCAATAGTTTATTAATAAATACCTGTGTGATGTCCTGATTAGTATTTAAAAGTGTTAACTGATATTAGTTTTATTTCATTTTATAAGATTTAATGGCTCTTATTACAGAAGCTTAAGGTAGATGTTAGCAGTGGTCAATCTTCAACTTCTTCACCAAATCTGAAAGAGGTCATCATATGAAGATTTATATTATTTATTTCTCTTTGGAAGTAATGTCAGAATTTTTGTCCTCAAACAGATAAATATTTTGGACAGGTGAAAAACCGTTTGGACTTTAAAAATAGTAGAATGATGGGTTGAGGTTGTCCCCTGCCTCCAGATAGAAATGACACTAATCTGTTTAAACTAGAATGCACTTTGGAAGTGGGAGGTATTAAAAACAAACAACCCTATTAGAAATAAATTATTGTTGCATTTATTTTATGTATGCTTTTGGTGTTAATACTAACTCACTAAAAAAAAAGTCCTGCTCTTACTTTCAGTCTTTTAAGCACTTCTGTGGATATCTTTACAAGAATGAAAAAGATTGCTTTCCTCATGACTAATTGTTTGCTATATTGAAAAAAAAAAGCATATAATTGCAAGCAGAAAGGATTCTTCCCTGCCCCAAGATGTTGAGAATACCAATCTTATGTTAACTGCAGTCAAAGTCATGATCCTGAGTATCTTTGAAAGTTGGACTTTGAAAAGATGGATGGTATTTTGAAGAGACTGGCATTCACTGAAGAGTGTGAAGTAAAATAAAACCAACTTTTTTTTCTTCTTTTTGAGTGATGTGGACTTGTCAGGAAGCAATTACGGTATAATTAAAACCCTTTTTGAAGGAGAATAAGTAACTTCAGGGTTTTGGTACTCTTATGCATGACAATTAAATACGGTTTTTATATAGCTGTGGCCCAGTACTATTCAGAAAGGTGCAACTCTACTTGGTCAGAATACTCTTACAGTTGCTGTTGATTTGTAGCTCAGGGATTTCCTGTGCTAGACAGAGATGGTAACTTTTTATACTCAATTGCCATCAATGAATTATTCCTCAGTAAGTTTTCTGGTCACTTCTTGAACTCGTTTAAATGTTCAGCATCTACAATGTTTTGTGATGAGGTAATAGAACTGTTGTTCAGTATATATGGTATCAGAGACTTGTGCAGTGGAAAATTGATTCTTATACTTCTACTCTATTCATTTACTGATATTTCTTGATACTGGATATGGTTTTCTCCTTTTGCCTTCTCCTGTAAATAATTCTGTAGAGATGTCTATTTTAATACCAAAACCTCATTCCAGAGCGGCAGTAATTGAGCTGAAACTGATCTTTGTGTAAGTGAAGTTTGGATTGTTTTTCCTCCTTAGGTAAAAACTGTTGCATTTAGTAATAATTTATGTTCAGGTTTTTTCATACTGCCTTTCTATGTTGAGCTCCTGCAGTAGTAGTATCTACATATTTTGATAGGGTCTGAATTCATTAGTATGTCAAGAGAAAAATCTCAGTGTTATAATAGTGAAAATGTCCAGCAATTAGTAGTGGTCCAAAAAAACCAAATAGAATTTTAGGAATTATCAGGAAAGGAGCAGAGAACAAAAGGAAAAATACTTAGACTTCTCTAACTGTCAAATACTTATCCTGAATACTTTTATCAGTCCCTTTCCATTTCTGAAACGGAAACATTGGAGTGGGGGAAAGTACTTTTCATCACTTTTGTTATTCTTCTGTACAGAATGAACTCTGTGTGATGAAACTTGACTACACTGGCGTGTGTAGTTTTCTGATGATGGGAAGGGAAAGGGCAAATCAGGGAAGTATAGTGTTAATACGTGCTCTGGAGTGGCTGAATAGGAAGTATTTGCTAGCTGTTAATATCGGCATGGGGGAGCCTCAAAGAAAATGAGCTGAAAACAGGTTCAAAATAAAAGGAGACGAATGAATACTGGCATGCTTTGGATGCCAAAAGTGTATATAGATTCGAAAAGTATTTGAAAGGCAAAATGTTATTAGAAAGTCTTGACTAAGTGAGTGGGAGGCTATTAAATACAGAGACAGCATCTGTCCCAGAAGATCTGACGTGCAACTTTTAGAAACAGGAAGGGCTTAGAATGGGGAGCATCTCCCTAGACTTGTTCTTGTACTCTTGCATAGTGACTTATCACTGCTGTGGCTTTCTTCTAGTTCCTAGGCTCATCGTGCAACAAAATAAAAGGATTTCCTTGACTGTGAGCGGTGGTGGGCATTCGTAACTAAGGAACCAATGAAAGGTTATTTCAAACAGCAGGAGGAGGATTCTTGCATTTTTCTTGAAAGACTGATCAGTTACAGGAACTTGGCATGGGATGCTGGAGTATAGATGCATTTTGGTTGGTACAGCCAGTCATACGTTTTAATTAGCTTGGATCCATTTAGTATAAAATAGAAATGCTGAAGAAAACTAAAATACATTTCTTAGTTCTGTGTTCCAAGTCTACATCTAAAATCAGACTAGGTCCCTTTTCACTTGACATGTTTGTTTGTGAAGCACTCTTAATTCTCCATTTGTGTAAGCCACAGAGCAAATAGAGAATTTCTATCTTCTGTATTTTTAAGATTAACAGTCCAGAAAATAAAATGGTGGGAATTTATGTCCTTCGGATGAGACCACTGATGTCTCTGCTTCTTACTCCAGAAGTATACTGTACTTGAAGCAATGTCGTGCTTACCTGTTCCTAGGAACCTTTCTTTTGACAAGATTTGGCTCTTGTTTTTCAATATACTTTTTTCCTTTTTCCCTCCTATCTTCTCAGGGTTAGAGCAGTATCTGAGAGGCAGATTTTCCCTGACTTTAGCATTGCATATAGTGCTAACTTGGATTTCACCTACAAGTAAGTTTTAAAGCTTCTCTCTGCATTTCAGTGTAAAAGCAAGTGATCAAAAGCTTTAATGCTACAATGATTAGACTTTGGAGATCAGATATTGGTTACAAGGGAGTGATGCTTCACAGAAATTCCAGAAACTAGAAAAAAATGCATTTCTATAACCTTTTTTTTCCTTCTTCAAAGTTTCTTACTTCAAAACCACTGCCTGGTAGGAGGTAAGGGAAGCAAGAACTGCTGCATTTCTTTTGTGATTTTTTTTTTTTTTCCTTTCTCTTGTAGGTGAAGGTACTTTAATATAATAATTATTAGCATGGGAGTGGAAACATGCTGTTTAAAATACTTTAAATTTACATAAAATAGCATGCTGCTATTTTAGCCACCTTACTCTTTCTTTTGTGTTGGGGTTAGGGACTGGAATTACATACGAAGGTCTGTAAAGACACATAGAAGGGTACATGTTTGACTTTCTTTTGCATAATTGAGGACCTGACAAAAGTCTGTATTTTTGGATTTTGTTAAAATAGCCCTACCATTGATAGGACTGTCATGATGTGATTTGTTATTCTACCAGTAGCAGGGCTGGACCTTTCTCTTTCTCCCTCTCCCCATACTTTGAGGGCTGTAGTAAGTGATAACTGCAAATTGTCTCTCTCTCATAGTGCTGTCATGAACAGGCAGATAGATACTCATGTGTTTTAAGCTTCTGGAGTTTGAACAGAATCCAAGCTCTGTCTCTGCTGGGAACAGGTACGTTTCTCGAAAGTTGGAGCCTGAATGTTTACTCCCAGCTTCTTCTACAGCTTAAACTCACCTTTTTCACAGGAAGAATGAGAGGCAGAAATTTCTAGCTATTTTTTAGGAGTCATGCACTTGAGAAGGAGGTGGAATGGGAAGTGTAAAATATGCAGTGAAGGGTATATTTTATCTTACGCAAGTGGGATGTAGATTGACTGGGGAAAAATAATGGGATAACCAGGCAAGCAGCGGGAAGGTTCCCAAGAATACCAGTGAAGCAACTCTTAGCTACAGGTCTTTCATATTGGAGAGAGAACATGTTTTTGAAATCTTGAATAGATATTATTGGAAGGAAATTCATAGGAAGACATGAGAAATTGGAGAATGTTTTTTCAAAGCTGAAGCTGTGTCACTCTTTCTGTGAAATACTCATAGGAGAGTGTTCCTTCTTCCTGCACTGGATCCAGATCAGCGCTGATTTTCTTTCTTTTTCAGAGCTACTGCATGCTTCGAAATGCTACTGCATGACTTGCTGTCCTTGCTGTCTTTAAAGCTTCAGTTGGGGGTGGAGTGGTGAAGGAAATTAAGCAGAGCAGTGATTTAAAAAAAAAAAAAAAAAGTTTAAAGAAAAAAAAAGTTGTATACTAATGACTAAATTTAGTTGCATCCTAATGACTGGTCCAAAGGTGAGCTATAGATCTAACAAGTGGATGTAACACAAGCTAAGTGTGTCACTTTGTTTTAATTAAATTTAACATCTTAATGGTAAAAAAAGCAGTAAAAGGATAATGTTCTCTGGCAAATAATTCCCATGCTGTAAGATAGTCTTAATGTTCTTGGTATTCCCATACAAGTCTCATTTCGCTTAATTACAGATTGCTCAACTTCCACAGACTGCCAAATCACACTGTATTGGAAGAACTCTTCTATGTCTGGTTAGGATTGCTGTTTTTTAGGCTATTCTAAGTGAATATTATTGTACAAGTTTTCATTAAAGCATTAGTCAAATTGGAATTCAGTGATATAGAATGCTTCCAAGACGAAGTAGGCTTATGCGTAATTTTTGTGGTAACATCCAAGAATAATTTTATATCCATAAATTGTCACAAGCTTGTTAGTTCTTCTGTTTCATACCCCTTTTTTCTTCACTGTTTAATGATG